CAGAGCTTGTTTTATGCACTTACATGTGGGGAGACCTCACACTAGCCAGAATGGCTGTCAAAGATACTTTGGGGGTCAAGTGGGTACTGTTAGCCCTTGAAACCAGCTGAAGCCCAATAAACAGTACAAAGTGTTTCCTGAGGAAATGGACATGAATTCTGGGCCAGCAGCAGTACATGAGGTATGTCTCCAAGACTTTCACCTGTGCTACGAGATCTGACATGTTTGGCAAGGCTGGGGCCAAGGTGCAATGCTATAGAAGACTCCGGAAGATTAGAGTCCTCATGTTAAATGGACTACTCACTGTTCCCCCACCACTGTGCTGATGGGGTTGGCCCTCGTTGACAATGGAGCTGACTCTACATTAGTCCATGGGAACCCGGATCTGTTTCCTGGGCCAGATGCACATGTAGATGGGCATGGTAGCTGAACAATCATTATCAAGTCAGTGACCATACTGTGACTTTTGACTTCTGGGTATCTACACTGTATGTTTCTCCATTAGCTCAATATATCCAAGGAACTGAAACTTTGTAAAGGCTGCCAAACTTACAAATGACTGCCTGCCAGCTTAGGCTGAGTAAAAGTGTTGTCAGGGTTAAGAGATCATCCACAACACACACACACACACACACACACACACACACACACACACACACACACACAGTGTTGCCTGCCCTTGGGATGTATCAGGTACCAATATTGGATCAGGTACATTAATATTGGTGACCTGGGGGCATGAAGCGATTACTCAGAATATTTTACAATTAGAAGCACCTTCAATAATGTGGACAGCACACAGCACCCATAATGTCTCCATGTGACCAGTGTGGCAGCCAGAGGGAGCATGGAGAATGACTGCTGACCACAGAGAATAAGTTCACTCCATCCATGATGCTACAGTGCAATCCATCATGGACCTGATGGTCCAACTGTCTCTGATTTTGGGGTGATATCACTATGTTGCAGAGCTGGTAAATGGTTTTATCTACTGACTTTGCTCTGAAGAGTCAAAAATGACTCACCCTCACCTTTGAAGGAGGACTTCCTCCTCACGCCATAGTTGAGGCCCGATGGACAGTTGTTGTCTGCACACGAGAGGAGGAAATGTATATGTGGATGTGAAACTGGCATACAGACAATTCTGTGCACTGTTGCTTGGAACTTGTGTCTCTCTATGATATGGGAATAAAGTGTAATGTACAGATACGCCTACCTATAGTGACAAAGTGGCCAAGTACCTTCACCCTACCAAGGGCTCTGGTTCACCCTGGCATGGCTCTAAAACGTGATTTAGTGAAACCATATGGGCGATTTTGAACCTGTCAGTCACAGTAAGAGATGAGCTCTCAGACTGTATATTATCATAGCCAGGTAAAATGTTCCTATCAGCCACCATACTGAAAAAGCTCGAGAAACTGTTCTGCATCCTCCCAGAGAGCAGGGGCTTGCCCATGATGGTTTCTGTGCAGGATGACTATGGGAAACAGCACTATCTTGGGCACATAGATATTCTCAGCTGGCAAATGTGTCCCACTCTCCGGTGTGTATGGAGTTCCCTGTGAACTTGGCCCATGACTTGCCTTGGTACAAGTATGCTGGGGATGACATCACTGGGTATAGGAATCCAGACAACCGCTGAGAATCTCCTGAGCCAGGATCATCACCAAACACACCATCCAAGCCCAGGATGTGATATATTTTTTCAAACAGATGGGTTGGGCTTGGCATAGGAAAAGTGGTGGAACTAAGTACGATAATACTACATTGCATAAAACAGCAATGGATTGTGCAGTAGAATGAACACCCCTGTAGTGAGTGGGTGCTAATGTCATCACAAATACCACCACAAGGCAGTAATGGAATGGATCTCCCTACAGTGGGACTATCCATCTGTACTGCATTCTCCCATGGTTTATGTGGGTCTGTGGACAGAAAGCCTGCTTGTACTTGCCAAATGCCTAGAGGGGTTTGCACCTGGGGATGCCTATACCTAGCCAGGAAGATTCTCTCCACAGCCCCCAGTCACCTACAACTGTGATACAGTGTACCTCCAATGGCAATGAGAGACATGCACCCCATGGTGTTTTCATCTGCTACCTGTGCTTTTGTCTGTGGGAAGCACTAGAGATAGAAGGGTATCAATAAATGCACAGCAGAGCACACTGCACGTGCACTCAGCCAGACCCATAAAGTTCCCACCTTTCTCATGGATGAGACAGCTCAGATTTTGAAAAGAGTTGTTTTACAAAGTAAAATGGCCTTTGATTTACTGATAACTGTCCAAGGGGGAACTATGTTGTTACTCACCAAGTGTGGTTTATATCCCATATAGAAACAAAGAAAGAAAGCATCAACAACAAAAATCCCAGCTGCCTTACAAAAACTACACAATGAGATGCAGACATTCCAACCATTCACTGAAACCCCCTAGAGCAATGGCAGGCTAGCATCTCCAGTTCTAAAATGTGCCATCCCAACCTTGGGAGGTACAGCTTGCTCCTTGTGCATATCTTTGTTTCCTGTTTTGTTACTGTGCACTGTGGGTCCAAGGAGTTTCCTGTAGGCCCATTCCAACAAAGAGCCTGGTGTCTGAAACAGGTGAGATGAAGAGAATCAAGACCATCAGGGCTGGGCCAGATGAAGTTTTAGACAGCATGGGTGTGGTGTGGACACAGAACGATCTAGTTAAGATGGTGGCAGCCGGATGTCTGGGAAGTAGGAATAAACAGTGAAGGTACACTTTATGGAACTGCATATAAAAGAAGTTTAGGGAAGATGCCACCTTTGTGTGATTTCCTAAAAAAAATACCCTTGGGACGAAAGGGTGAACACAAGGCATAACTCTCGCCTAAAAGGGAATGAGAGATAGTTTATTCTGGAGCCAAGAATGAGTGACTGTCACCTCGGAACAGAGATTCGGGTTACCTCAAATTCCATATTCCAACATAGTAATGGTTTCATCAAATTTTTATAGTACAATATGAAGAGCAATATAAATCAAGATATTTTTCAAGTAGGCTGATGGAAGCATTAAGTAGGTGGATAAACAGAAATCTCAACTACAGGCTCCAGATGCTTTTGGAAGGAATTCAGCCTTTTGTTGGGAAGCTGATGGTATTTCAAAAAGTTTTCTTCTGGTAGTCACAGAATGTTAAGTTAGAAAGAAAGGTGTCAGGTGCTTGAAAATTGGCTCAGCAGTGAAGAACACTGGCTGGCCGGTGGTGACACATGGCTTTAATCCCAGTACTCAGGAGGCAGAGGCAGGTGGATCTCTCTGAGTTCAAAGCCAGCCTGGTCTACATAGTGAGTTCCAGACTAGCTGGGGCTACAGGGCAATGCTGTCTCAAAAAAAAAAAAGAAAAAAAAAATGACCAAAACAAAACAAAACAACACTGTCTGTTCTTGTAGAGGACCAGAGTCGAATCCCAACACCCACATTGTGGCTAACAATGATCCCAACTCCAGTTCCAGGGGCTCCAATGCCCTTTTCTGTCCTTCGTGGGCACTGAACAACAGGGGTGTGCTTACATGCACGCACTTTTCATATCCTGCCTTGTCCTCTTTAAGATCATTCAGGTGGTTTTTTCTGCTTCATATTGATGAAGAAAAAATAACCCAATATGGACTATAGAACTATGACCTCAGTACAACTTTGTTCTTTGTGGTAGATGAGTAAGTACTAACAAATGTATTTGATAAGACTCTACATACTTCTAATAATAGGCCTAATAATAAGTGTGCTTGTTGATGTATATAGGAGGAGCGGAACTTTGTAACAGTACTTTTAAGGCATTAGCCTTCTAAACTTCTGTGTTAGATCTGTGTTAGAAAGCTGTATGATGGAACTTCCCACTCTGACCTTTAAACTGCCACAGAAAAAGACAGAAAACATGACAAGAAAAAAAAAATCATAGTGTGAGCGCCTTGAAGAATGCTGCCTCTTGCAATGGTCTTGAAACATTTGCTGCAATGTGTCTCAGCTGTTCAAATAGCTGAGATTGTTCTGACATCAGCAATACTGCATGTTACTGGAAATGTCAGAATCCTTGCCCACACCTGCCCGAAATATCTGCTTTTGTAGAAATGATGTTTTAATTTCCCATAATAACGTATGGGGCACATATACCTTGGGGCTGGGAGTCTCAAACCCATCAAGGGATTACAGCCAAGAGCTGCCATGAGAAATCCTACAGAACCCTGTATGTGTTTCTGGTCAATGCCTCAGTATCTCTGGAGCAGTTAGCCAGAGGGTAGCCAAGGATAAACTTCCTCTGCTTCCTGAGCATGATTTGATTCTCTCCCCTGTCCAGGTCAGTCTCAGGGTAATTTTTATAGGATTATGCTTTGAACTCCCCATACATATTTATGCATTCTTTCTGAGTTCTGTATCTTAGAATTTTTGCAAATTGCTCTCTTAGGGAACATTGCTACAGAACTGCTGCTTTTTCTTGAGGGGTGGGAGGAATATTTTATTGGTTTATCATACATTTAGTACTTGGGGAATGGGCCCTGGGCAAATGTATTTAGGCTGTTTGTTGCCTTTTCCTGTGTTTTTTATCACAGGAGGATGCACTCCCAAGGTGAGGTTTAAGGCTGGGTGTCTTTGGTGGTGTCTCAAGTGAATAGAACCCAGGCTGGGGTCTAGGTAGGGGGGTAGGGTGTCTTACTAGAGCCAGATGTGGTCTAAGCCCACAGCAGCCCTGTAAAGAGGCTGTGTTCTGCGTCCAGGGCTAGACTGACAGCTGGAGCCACTTGGTTGGGATCTAGAGGTGTGGGGGAGGGGCGGGGTCTGAGTGGGTCAGAGACAGTCACCTAGGTCAGGGAAGTGACCCAAAGAAAGGAGATGGAGCAAATTCTGTGTGGTTAGAGAAGGGGTGTGGCATGGGCGGACTCAGAAGAGCGGACTTCACTGAAACTCCAGTGGAGTGGGCGGGACCAGAGCGGAGGACGGGAGGCGCCAAAGTCTGGCAGGATCTGCGGCCTCCCAGGCCTGGAAAACTCCACAAAGACCTAGGGAGCACTCCACTCCTGGAGCAGGGTGGTGTGGATCCGCAGGTGGACGGATCCGGACCCGCAGGCTGACAGATCCAGACAGCTCTTATCCAGATGTGAAGGTTCACCCCAATCACAGGAGCCACGTGGAACGGTAGGTGCAGAGCGGACGCAGGGAGGGTCCAGGAGGGACCGGCGGGCTTAAGGAGAGTGTGGACGAATTTTTAGTAGCAGTTTTATACTTTCCAAAATATTCTCATAAAATAATTACTGTACACTATTTGTTCTTAGTCAGGGGCTCCATGTAGCCCCAGCTAGACTGGAACTCACTATGTCGACCAGACTGGTCTTGAACTCACAGAAATCCGCGTGCTTCTGCTTCAGCCTCCCTAGAGCTGGGGTTAAAGGTCTGCACCACGCCTGGCTTATGTGCACTAGTTGAATTAATGTGCTGAAATTCGCAAATACGGCAGAGTGATGGCGAGTGTAAAGGAATTACTTCAAGTCAATGGTCCCTCCCCTTGCTGTTGAGGCAAAAACAACGCTCTTCCAGGTCAAATTCATCCATACGTTCTGACTTCCATGTTCTACCTTTCTCTAAGGGGGTTCCGTTTGAAGCCGGATTCTTGCCATCTCTAGAGAGCTTATTAGAATTAGTCACAGAAGGAATGATTCTAGATTGTATTGAATCAGAATATACATTTTAGCGGACATCCAGTTATAGTTGTAAACATTAACAATGAAGAAGTAAACTTGTAATTCACCATTTATGTTCCATCTGCAATATATAATGTATGACGGGAATCCATCACTAAAATGAATACTTTTTTGTTGAGGTCTTAATTTTAGATCCTCTAGCCCATAGAAACAGTACACATGCTGAATACGGGTGTGTCATGCCATACTAGTTCCACAGTTAGAAAAGGCATTAGAGAATATGGCAATATAGAAACATTTCTGTAGAATCGTTATGATCACACCCTACATCAGAAAATGCCTCTCAATTTCTTTGATCTTCTTGATTCAAGGAAAGCAATCTGCTGTGCACGCATGGTCAAACTGTTATTGTTCATTTCAGGGGATTTTGATATTTAGTGATGTGTCTGTGAACTTGTCACAGGAGGAGAGGGAATTCCTAGATCCTGCTCAGAGCACTTTGTACAGAGAACTGATGCTGGAGAATTACAGCTGTCTTCTTTTTGTTGGTGAGAATATTTTTCTTACAGAATTTCTTGCTCATACGCAGAGTTCCTTGGGGAACTCCTATGTCTGTGTGTGTTAACTGTGTGAATGAGTCTCACATCTCATAAAGTGAAATTCTCAGAGGAGAAAAGAACACTGTAATGTACTTTTGTCTGTTCTCATGTTTGTCTTTTGGGAGGGGTTATGCTTCTTTCATTTTTGTTCCATGATAAATTCATAAAGTTCCATTTCCAACCTGGAATTTGAGCTGAGCTGTAATTAGAGGTGGAACACTAGTTATGCGATCTGAGAACTCTATAAATATCAGTGTTCTGACAGAATATTGCAATTGAAAAGACACTGGTAGAATTCCCTGTAATGTTCTCTCTTTATATGTTAAGTACACTGCTGTTTAGAAAATCAGGTACTTTCAAAGACAAATCATGAACCACCCAGTACAGGCTTTCAAAGGTGAAAGAGCACCTGGTGTCTTGTGCATTAAGCTGTGATGCATACAAAGGTGCTAGAGCACTTGGTGTCTTATGCACTAAGCTGTGAGCACCTGGAATCGTGGGGATGATGGTGATGTCCTGAAACACACTCAAGAGGCTGGTGGTCCTGAGGGACACACCACTGCACAGTTTATTAGTGTGGAAAAAGATTTCATCAATTATTTGAAATTACTTTTGTGAGACATGGAGTCAGACATCCATAAATTAAAATGTAATATTATAGGATAGATTCTACCTATTAAAATTAATTTTAAAATGTTTTATTTGCTTTTTTATTTTATGTGTATGAGTGTATTGCCTGATGTATGTAAGGGCACCCATGTTGGGCAGTGCTCATTGAGCTCAGAAGAGGGTGTTGGAACCCCTAGAACTAGAGTTACAGATGGTTATTAGCTGCCATGCAGATGCTGGGAACTGAATCTGGGTCCTCTGCAAGAGCAACCATTGCTCTTAACTATTGAACCATCTCTCCAGTACCATAATATTTAGTTTTGGTGAAGAAGAACTGTATGTATTTAGGAGATGCAATGTGATATTTTGTTCTCTACATACATTTTTGAAATTGAATATTAACACAGTTAACACTTTATGAATTCACATTTTAAAATGTATATACTGGAAAAAATGTTACAAGATAGTTTTGAGACCAAAAACTGCCTAGAAGCCTAATTATTATAAAGTGACTGGTCCTTCAGTATTGCCTCTGAAGTTTCAAGAATGTGGTACTCTTAATTTCAAAATCACAGAAGAGACCCATTTAATGTCTCAGTTAACTACAGGATGAACCTGAAGTTTTTTTTTTTTAAGATTCTAGTCTACTCTCTTTGAAACTCAGATGCACACCCATTGTTCCTCAGCCTGTGAAGGCATCTTGTAAATGTGGTCCATTTATAAAACGGAGTTCTGCTCAGTGGTGAAGGAAAAGGAAACCAAGGAATTTGCAGGTAAGTGGACGGAACTGGAAATGGCTGGACTAAGTGAGGGAAGACAAATGCCGAAAAACAAGCCACGGGTGTTCTTCCTAGTGTGGCTCCTACCACCAAATCAATGGAAGTGAATTCAATATGGGCTAGAGATATGTGTGCTCCTTAATTATGGTAGGACTGCTTGAAGAATAGGGAATCTACTGAAATGTCCATTGACAAATGAAAAATTTACTGAAATGTGATATTTCTAAAGAATGCACAATTCCATCATAGAAAGAGAGGAATCTTCTCATACACGAGAACAGGATTCATTTGATGAACACCGTGTCAGGTAAAGGAAGTTGAAACACAGCAGTATATGATCTCGGTCTTCAGAAACATGGAAAAAGAAAAGGTAGATGACAGATGTTGAAGGTACAATAGCAGTTTGCCATGAATGGGGAGAATGTGGGGTAAATAACAGACACAGTGTCATGACTTCATGGCTTAACTAAGTTCTATTGTTCTATGCCACCACAAGGTGAATAAATTCTCCAACTTACATTTTCTATCTTAAAATTATTAAAAAAGATCAATTTGTATACACTCAACATAGGAAAGGATAAAATTTTGCATGTGGATATATTAATAATAGACTAAATCAAATGACAATGTATATAACTAAGAAAATATCAGGGATAACTCATAAGTATGTAAAATATCATTTCATCACACAATGAAGATTGCGTTTTTCTTAAAAGTTATTTATTTCATGTGTAAGAATGTTGTTCTTGTGTGTATGTAAGTGCAGTTATGTGAGGTGTTGTGGTTGGGTGTATATAACTACATCCATGGAATCAATGTCTGTGGAGCTGGTAGACGGTGTGGGAACCCCTGAAAAGGTTTTGTTAAATACAGTGGGTGCTGCAAACTGAACTCAGCTCCTGTGCAAGAGCAGCCAGTATTCTTGACCTCTGAGCCATCTCTCCAGCTCCAAGAATAGACTTTTAAATATCACAATGAACTATTCATGAAATTTAGCCTTTAAAAGGAAAACTCTCCCTTGTTCCTCCCCCACATGTTCTGTCTATGAGGCTCAGAAGCATCAGTGCTGTTTCATTAACAGTCACCGGCAGAAGACAGTGAGGCTGGGGGTCAGTTGCCATTGCTTCTGAAGGAAAGCTTAGTGTAGCCTTTATTCCAAAGGATGAAAACCGTGTTACTCCACCTTGTTCAGGTAAGGAGGTGAGGTGGCTACATTCCCATGATGTAGCAGGAATTCTTGATTTGCTGGCAGGGCGACCACTGGAAGGCAGGAAAGCAGAAACTTCTATGGGGTCTCCATGTTGAGCTCTTTCTTCCTGAGCATCTACTGCAACTGCAGACTGAGAACAGCCTGTTTTGTTTTCTGAGGTGCTTCTTCCTCTTGTTATGTTGGCAGGTGACATGGATTTTCAGTGAACTGAAAGGAAGTCTCTCAAAAGAAAGACAGTTTATGTAAGATTGCCTGGAAAGGAGAGTCACAGAGGGAGGAGAGGGATGGCTTCTTTTCAGGTAAATTCATCCAAGGGCCTGGTCCACATACACTTTCTTTCTCTAAATGTTTGGTATTTTGAACTTCTAAGCTTTTCTCATCTCGAAATTAGCTATGTAGACCAGGCTAGCCTCAATCTCACAGAGATCCTCATGCGTCTTCCTCTGGAGTTCTGGGAGTAAAGGCCTGTGCCAGCACACCGGGGCCACATTAACTCTTCATATGTGTCACCTATGTAGCATGTCCACCTCTCCATTTTGTCCTCCAGTGCTTATATTTTCCAGACTAATCCAAGGAATTCATCAACAGCCACTTCCCAAATGCTTCTGACGTCATAGGTGAAACTTCAAACATTTCAGTTTTCATTGCCTAAGGAGGATGGACAGGGGTCCGCATATGTCACTGTATTCTGGTTTCAATTGTGCCTAAAACTGATAATTTTATTTTATTTTATTCAGGTATCATATTACATTCTTCAACGTTTAATCTGACCAACATTACAGGCCTGATGGAATGTTTTTCTGGGCTTGCTGACCCTGTATTCTTTTGTCTCCTTGGAGATGCTTCCCTTGGTTGAGGTGTTCTGCACCAAATCCCAGACTTTCACATCATATTTTTTAATTTATTAGGAATAAGTTTTCTTCTGGTAGTTTACAGAGTGAAGCACACGGATCATGACATTTACTGCAGAATCTCCCCTTTCATCAGTGCAGTTTCCTTCCTTTCTTTGGAGGAAGAAACCTTTCTCATTTGTTTGCTACATACTGAGTTTTCCAGGTGGAGATTCTGAAACCTCGTTCTCTCTGTTGCTATTTCTACTTCACATTCCATCACAGCTCTGCCTCCACTACTGGTTCTTTAACCTGCAGAAAGAGTTCTGTTTACTAATTGTTGCACAAGTGCAGTTGCTGGATTTTGGAAGCATTTGTGTTTCCAGCATCAACATTGTTCAGTCAGTGTTGGATCTTGTGTTCATGTTTTGGCTAAATTTTAGGTAGGTAAGTGGGGATAAGACAAGAAATTACTATAGAAGCATTGCTAGAATAATTATGCACTGATGTTTCTGTACTTTCTACAGTACATGCAGGGTATAGAATTTCTTTACAAGGATCATGTCTTCTTGCTGTGGATGGAGAGCACACATTGTTATTTATCTTCCTCCATGTTCCACTAGTGCTTTTGGAGAAAGTGTCTTTTGTAGCTGGGTCACTGGCCTCACTGCAAAATCTGTTTGGAAAGGATTAAGTCAGGTCCATAGGTCATGTTAAGGTAAAAAATATCTGTTTTAGCTATGCCTACAGTGCATGGTTATAAGCAGACACCAGATTGAATTCATGAAAATAATTATATATCAGTGTGACTTTACATCACATAAATATATACAACTGATCTTGTGTGCTACAAATATAGGAAGGAAATGGGCTTACTTTATGTACTGTGCTCCTTAACATCATAATCTTCACAAAAGTTTGGGGGGGTCTGATGCTATTCTTTTTTACACAGATTTAGCAAGTAGATTACAGATACTTACTAGATTAAGAAATATCCTTTTCAATAATTCAGGTTTCTCATCTAATTCAGAAGTCATTTACTCATTATCTCTTTCTTTCTTGGGTCCAATGCCCTGTTTAAGTGCACATGGTCTCATTGACATTTTTCATTTTAGGATCCACTGATGTTCAAGGACGTGTCCATAGACTTCTCCCAGGAGGAGTGGGAATGCCTAGACTCTGCTCAGAGGGCTTTGTACAGGGAGGTGATGTTGGAGAACTACAGCAATCTGGTGTCTGTAGGTGAGGAGATTTTTCTATCAGTATTTTTACTGTTCTGTCCTTTGCTAGACAACAATCTACTTTGTACATATGTTAGTTTTGCTGTGTATGTCTTAGATCCCTTAGAAATTAGTGTATTGGGAATGTCTGGGCATCATTTCCACTTGTCAGAGGAATTATTATTTTATTTAGAGGAATTACTATATTATTCATTATTTTGAAGTTCATTTCAGCCACCCATTAATACATGATACTGTAGCCAGACTCTTAAGGTTCCATTTCTGTAGCTGTAGTGAAATGCTTCTTCCAATCATGTTGTTGTTAAAAATTTTTTGAAAAATGATTTGTCAGAATTGAGAAAGACAGCTAAGACACTTCAGGCCAGATCCAAACTCTGCAGGACAAAGGACATGCAAGGTGGGATGAACTTTACAAAATCACAGAGGGCAGAATTGGTCTTTGAGGAGTTGCTAGTCTTTTGTTTAAGAGTTTGGTAAATATCTTGGTAGAGAAGTGGATGAAACCCAGGGTTCTCACAGCAGGAGCAGGTCATCTCTTCCCCCCAAACTGGCCCTGATCAGGAATATCTGACTGCTTAGTCACCTCACCTACTAGCCTGCCAGCTTGCCAACCTGCCAGTCCATCCTTGTGACTACTATATTGTATAACTGTAATAATTCAACTGTAAACCTAAAAATTTACAGCCAATTTTGAAAGAGATGCATCTTAGCTCAGAAAATGTTATTGAATATGTCAATGCTGTTGTAATGAAATGCTTCTTCTAAGTATGTGGTTATTAAATAATTTTAGAAAAAAGAAAAAATTGAAAAATTGTTTGGAGTGTCACCTCTTTTTCTGTATATTTCCAGTGGAGCACAGCGCTGTGTTAGAAATCCCGTACTTTCTAACGAATCCAGTATGCTCATGTGCCTCTTTCTCATACACAGGTCTTGCTGTGTGTAAGCCTGTTCTGGTTTCCTGTCTGGAGCAAAGCAAAGAGCCCTGGAATGTGAAGAGAGGGGAGACTACGGCCAACCAGGTAGGTTTGAGTGGCTGAAGGAGGGGCCCAGGTGACAGGTCCTAAGTGAAGAGGGATAAAGACCTGAACATGGTTTTGCCATAGTCTGTTTCACTAGAAAGATATTTTTATAATTTAAGTTACAGCAGTTTCACCCAGCTTTGTCCTGTGGTCCATGTCAAATGAATTCTTTTATTTTTCATGAATTATGTGGCAATTACTAGTATGCAAACATCACTTGATTTAATTATTTAATTTTTCCTTATCTCCCATGTCACATATCTTGCCAATGCAAACTAATGGCTGACTTTTTTCCTGTGTGTTCTTCCAGTGCTACACTTTTTCAGTGTATATATTTATTGAATTTTTTTCATTTCATAAAAAAAAAATCTTAATCATCTTTATACCCCCTACCTGACCTGCACCCATATACCCCTCACCCGATTTAATCTCCCCCCAGATACCCCCCACCAGATTTCATGCATTCTGTGATATATGTTAAGGACTCTCAAGTCAAGTTTGTGTCTTGTTCCTCCTTTGGTAATGATTGTGCCCTTCTGAGTCCTTGTGATTTTTCATTGTTGTGCAATTACTAATGTATTTCTCCCCAAAATGATTGTAAGACTTTGATGAGAATCACATAGAATGTTTACATAGCATGAAATTCTATATTCTCTTCCCATTTTAAATAAGAACATGTTAAATATGTGTGGCTGTCTGCATAGCATTTGGGATTCCTCTATTTTCTACCTACTATTGATGTATATTTTGCAGTTTGGTCTGAAAAGAGATTGTGAAACATTAATCTTGTATAATATTTAAGACTAAATCTATTGTCCAGTTTAGTTCTGCAAGTGTACTTTGATTTTTGAAATTTAAACATCCTCCTGTGTGTACATGCGAGGCAATCCAGGCATCTTTGGGATCCATGCTTTCTCACGCTGCTCATATGCTTGTTCATTCATAATCTTTCTGACTTCTGTATTCTCCACAGATAGGGTCCTGTCCACAGAGCCATGGTTTGGAGGCTGGGTCTCTTTCAGGCACCTTCCTTCTCTCTGCAATTCTTGTCAGCCATGAGGTGAGGTTTCTGATGTCATGACCTTCCCTCTCATGGTTCAGTCTTGCCATTGTCTGTTAGTCTCTGAGTCCCATGGATACTGGGCTGAAACCTCTAAAGATGGAGCCAAAATACAATGTTTTATATGCTGAATAATTTTTGTCAGTTGTAGATCAGATGAAAACAGTCCACAATGGACTATGCAATAATATGATAGAAATTAGATAAAATTCAGTTTTGAATTTGATATAAGCTAAAAAGATAGAGATTACCTTATTTTCAGGGTGTGGTGGTGCATGCCTATAATCCCAGCACTTGGGAGGGAGAGGCAGGTGGATCTCTGTGAGTTCGAGGCCAGCCTCTATAACTAGTGAGTTCCAGGAGGGCTGGGGCTACAGGGAAATTAACAAGAGTATGGATGTAATGTGCTCTGATCAAAGAATTCTAATAATGTGAAGAAGGGTACATGTTCACTACAGAGCATGAGTCATGTACAGTGTGTTCTTCATACATCATGATGTGCATCACAAATTCATAGCGCATTTCACAAAATAAATAAGTTATCATAATTAAAGTGTGAACTGTCTTTACCTATAAACTCTTTTCACCTTGGGAAATGTGAAATGAGAGTGATGGAAAATTTTTGAACTAATCTAACCTTTCCTCAGGTATTTGCTACTCTAGGTTTGTTAGTAAAAAGAGACATTACTTTGGCAAAATCTTCTGGAAAGTATTTTCTCAGGGTCAGCACAGAATCTGTAATCTAGAGGGAGCTCATGACTCCATCTCAAGCTGGAAGCAGGACTTGGTAATGTGTAAGTGTCTCCTTCATGGTTCTGGTGTTGAAAGTGTGATCGATCACAGAGAGCAGCTGAGACTTGGTACCCTGAGAGGCCAGGAAAAGCCATTGGTGAAAGTAGCAGTGAACACCTCAGAATTAAAGGGGTCATGGAGAGAATCTGATGCTTTGCACCCCAAGATGCCTGAAGAAGCCATTGGTAAAGATGCAGCCTCAGTTTCAGTGGAGACTCCAAGTTTTTGGAGATACCAGGCCTACGAACAACGGCAGCAGCAGGTGTGGAACAGAGTGGACCTGGATCTCTGACATGAGCTGGGTATGCTGTGGACAGTGGAGTCAGAGAAGTGGAGCTGCCAAGACCCGTATGAGCCCAGGAGATCATGAGCAAATCTCATATGTGTAGCCTTGAGCTGCTTTCCTGGACTTAGGATTTGCTTAGGTGTGCCTGATTCTTCTTTTTTGAAATAAGACACAAAGTTAAGAGACTTTTGAAAGAGTCTGTGAACTTTTAAATGTTTAGATTTTATAAAGGACTCTTTTGCTTTTAAGGTTGTACTTTCTTATAATGATACTAATTTTAACATCCTATCTTTGGGACAAGAAGTGGAAAGATTGTGGTTTAATAGTGATGTGTTTGTGTGAAGTTGACAAGGGGTCAGTTGTGCCGGATAGCTTTAGTGTCAACTTGACACACCTGGGTTGTGGGATCCTCACTTGTGGAATTGCCTCCATTGGACTGTCCTGTGACCATGTCTGGGGGCCATCTTTTTGATTGTTGAGTGATGTGGGAGGGTCCAGCCCAATGTGCATGGTGACATCCTTGGGCAGGTGGGTCTATAAGAAAGGTTGAGCAGGGGCCAGGTGGACAAGCCAGTTAGCAGCAGCCCTCTATGGCCTATGCTCCAGGTTCCTGCCCTGAGTTCCTACCTTGGACTCCCTGATGAGCTGTGCGTGGGAGATATAAGGTCAGTAATAATTTCTAATAATGCCATTCAAATATATATTCTTTCCTCATATTCACCCTATAAGTAAATAATGTTTGCAGAAGGGGGAAAATATCTGTTTATGTGTATTCAACTATCACAGGCACTCAAGTGGAATAGTAAAGTCACAGAATTTTCTTTTAATTCAACAGTTTTTTCCTTTTAACTTAAAATTTATACATTTTTTAATTCTTTTAGAAAATTTTTGATATATTTGATTACACTGATGTTAATTTTACCAACCACTGAGTTTTAAAAGGCTATACAATTATTGAGTGCAAGTTGCTGTTGAGACTACAGATTGACAGCTGTGAGGGTGCTTGCCTTTATTCCCAATACTAAGGAGGCAGAGGCAGGTGGATCTCTGTGAGATCAAGGACAGCCTGTTCTACATAGTGAATGCCAGGCCAGGTGGGGCTACAGAGAACCCCCTTCTCAAAAAGACTAGAAAAAAAAGACTAAGAATGCAAATATCACTGCAAATGTCCCACATGACTCTTCCCATTCAATACTTGATACATCTCTCAGTTTTCTGCCACTTGGCATACTTTTTTCTTTTTTTTAATGTGTATGAGTGTATTGCCTGCATGTATGTGAGGGCACCCATGTTCTGCAATGCCGTGGAGGTCAGAGAGGGCTTTGGATTCCCCTGGAACTGGAGTTAAGGACAGTTTGTAGTCGCCATGTGGGTACTGGGAATTGAACCTGGGTCCTCTTCAAGAGCAATCAGTGCTCTTAACAACTGAGCTACTTCTCCAGCCCCTCAGCATACTTTTGGAAAGTTGTATTAATCATTTGAAAATTTCATGCACACAGCCAATGTATCTTTTCACACTATTGGAAATTTTGCTTTCATGTGCCTAGTATTCTATGGGTTCAATTTCTTTTTTATTGAATTAAAAAAATATTTCATACCGTGTAAGTTGATTGTAGTTAGATACTCTCCCCATCCACATTTCCTTTACTACCCCTATCTAATTTCTCTGTCCCTGTCTTTCTCTGTTTGTGTGTGTGTGTCTCTCTCTCTGTGTGTATGTGTATGTGTGTGTGTGTGTGTGTGTAGTCATCCACCTGAGTCTGATCAACCTATAAAGAATCCCATCTATGAAGGCCTAACCTCCATCCATGAAAGAGACACTTTCCCTCCTTCCCTGAAGCCTGTGGTGGCCAATACTTCCTCAGCAGCATTGGTGTTTCTTACCAACCTCCCCATGTCTGTGCGGGGATTTTGATTTTGCCTGTTCTGAGCTTATGTGGGGATTGTGCATGCTGTCACCAATGCTGCAAGTTCATGAGTTACTTCCCAACTCTCTACAAATCTCTATTTGCTTGTGTTATTGCACCATCTGTAACTCTTAAACCATTTATGTTTGCTATTCTGCAGCTATCCCTGTTCCTTCAGAGGCAGAATTTTGATATTCTATAGCTCATGAGTGCAGTGTCTTCAGCAGCCGCATCTTATCATCAAATTCTGGTGGTAAGAGAGGAATAGTATCGAGAATGCATGATGAACTCAAAATACTAAACATCAAAAAACGTACAACCCATTTAATACGGGGCAAGGAGCTGAACAAGCAGTTCTCCAAGAATGAAATATAAATGTCTGAGATTTTCTTTTAAAATGTTCTATATCAGTAGTGATAAGGGTAACTTAAAACCATTTTGAGATTTATTATCCACTCAACATGGATAACATCCAAAAACCAAAGAACAAGCCAGTGTGTTGACACATGCCTTTTTCCCCAGAATGAAGAGGAGAGCTGGGCACAAATTCCACCCTTGGTCCTGAGCTGTTGGTAATTGATAGGTGCTGGGAGGGAGTCAGGGTTCTTCAAGGGTGTGGCCCCAGCTATGTCGGCTTCTCCTCATGGATGGCCCCGTATTCAAGTGTTTATGTTCAGTTCAGTGCACATTTTATTTGTGTAAAAAATAAAACTAAAAACAAAATCCAATAACAAAGTTTTGTGTGGGTCATGAAGGGATGGATATGCGATGACTTCTAGCCATGGAGGTGAATGCAATAAAAGTGCTTTCTTTGAAATTCGCATAAAACTAATAAAAAGTGTGGGAATTTTTTTTAAAAAAGCATATCACATACCATTATCAGTCGTCCTCCATTTAAATGCTCACACATATAATACACAAGTTCAAACCTAAATATTGATACATGGGTAATATCTGACTTTGTATGTAACTGTACTTTTTATTTGTTTGTATTCCAAATATCATGTTAAGTGACTGAAAAAAAAAATTGTGAGCTATCAGTAGTGATCCCATCTAGACTGGG